TGGGATGTTTGTTATATTCATTAGAAAAATCCTATTTTTTAATATTTGTTACTATTTTTTACAAATAAAATACCATTATCCACCCAGTTCTATATCTCCTTTGCTTTTTAGTGAGAGACAAACTAAGAAAACTTTTAAAATAAAATATAAATAGATGAAAAGAAAAAAATGTGTTAATAAAAAAATGTGAGAACATAATTATCAAGGTGTTGTCAGGTTATTGTCAGCTGCTCCGTTTGTCAATAAAGTTTTTTTTTTTTTTTTTTAACCGGTAAAAATGGCGGAGTACGACCTAACAACCAGAATAGCCAATTTTCTGGACCGACACCTGGTTTTCCCGCTGCTGGAGTTCCTGTCCGTGAAAGAGGTCAGAGTTTATTCTCTGAGTGAAGCTAACAACATTAACAGCAGGGCTAGCAGTCATGCTAGGCAGGCTAACGCCAACAGCTAGCCGCTAACATTAGCCACAGAGCTAGCTGATTATGCTGGTTTACCATCTCTGCTTTACTTTAACCTGACATTGAAGAGGAAACTATTTAAAATACTTCAACTAAAGCTGATTATAGCTATTAGCTTTTATCTGCCGATGGTTCAAACACGAATGACAACAAAAATTGGTTTAAATTAAACCTGATCTCAGAACCATAGTGATTAAAGCATCTGGTGATCCTGTATTTATTAAATATAACTTATATTTCTCACTTTTGTATTTCTTGTTTTTCATCAGACTTTGGGTAATTTTTACTCCGCTTTAATTCCTGGATTTGAATAGAAAAAAGTTGGAAAATTCAGGTATATTTGGAGCAAATTGAGTTTTCAATAAAAACATTTTTAATCTCCCCAAAAATTATAACAAAAAAATCAGACTATCTTTAGTGAGGGCAAATTTGCAGCATCAAAATCAGCAGGAATGTAAGAAATTATTCCCATAAACCTCAATAAATTGTTAAATTGATTTTTATTTTGCAGTTTCTTCCTTAGTCAGTTTAATAACCTGCTGCTGTCATTTAAACATCTGTGACGTTTCTGCTATTTTCAAATGACTGTAAAAATGTCTATAGCTGTTTATTGGTTATTTATTCTCCAGGTGCACAGTTTATATTCTTAAAACACTTTACAGTATTTTATTGTTTATCTTTTAAATCTTCACTATTATTTATTTTTTATACATTTTCCAAGGTCTGCGTTTGTGTGACCATTTTTTCTATAATCTTTTTGCTGCTGTAAACACCAGAATGCCCCATTGTGGGACAATAAAGGATTTTCTATTCTATTTTACTCTAACAAACTCTGCAGATATTGAAAGTAAAAACATTTAAAAATGATTTACATGTGTTGCCATGTTTGATTGGCAGGAGTTAAAAAAAATAGTTTTCTTTATTAAATAATTAAAGACCCTTTAATTAGTGGTTTATTTCTGAACCATTCCGGTCATAATTTACCTTACGGTGAAAAAATATCTGATGTTTTTGTGACTGTAAATGTTTCTCTGAAAGTTTAAAACAACACATGGGTGCTTTAGTTTGAATGGATTTCCTGTGGAACAGTTTTATATCCGTGTTAAACTGAATAGTGATGCTGATGTTTCAGCTGTTTCCGGTTATGCTTTGAGCTTCTTGGTTCCTGAAAGTTTAGCTTAAATCCTGTAATCTAAAAATCACAGAAAACGGAATAATATTCAGGCTTGATTTAAAATTCAGGTAAACTTCATAGCGGTTAGAAGTGGGCAGATCCTTCCAAGGATCGATGCTATCGATACCAACGCTGGTATTGATATTAAACAAGATCAATACTTCTCTCTCGGACGCTCTAACTGCAGCAGATTGATCAGTCTCCCCGTCTGTGTCACAGCACTTTGCTGCTCCCCCCTCCCCGCTTCTGCTCCTCAGACACCGGAGCAGAAAAAGATGAAGAAGAAGAAACAAAGTGCCGTTTGGCTATATTTTAATACCATAAAAGAAACACCACTTAAATGCAGTGCAAACACACAACAAGTTTATATAAACACATGAAAAATCATGAGCAAGAAAATGTCGAGCTACAGAAACGGAAAGAGGAGATGAAACTTGGCTTATTGCTCCGATAGACCCTCGACCCACAGACAGACATCAGTGACAGAGGCGGTTCAGACCTCCAGAGAATATCCAGGTAGATGAGACTGATCACCATCATATGAACTTTAAAGTAGATATTATATGTCATAAGTTACTGGAGCCCACTCAGAAAATGTTATTAAGACATTGAAAGAACCCAAAACATTTATACCATTTAAACATGTTATCTATGTGGGCTAACATTGGCTAATATTTATTCATCCCACAATGTGGAAATTTATACAATTAAAACAACAAGCAAATGAAAAGATATAAGTAGTGGATTAGGAAAAAACACTGAAAATAACATTATTTATTATTATTTTTGAATTGTAAGGCAAGGCAAGGCAAGGCAAATTTATTTGTATAGCACAATTCAGTACAAAGACAATGCAAAGTGCTTTACATGATTAAAATACAGGAAGATAAAACAGAATCAAAGCAAGTAGAAAAAAATAAAAAACAAATAAAATAAAATAAAAAATGCAGAAACAAAAAAAGAATATTAAAAACAGTTGGATTAAAGAAAACATGTTTTTGTTGAACTGTTTAACTAGAACAGTCGAAGGCAATCCTAAACAAATGTGTTTTTAGTCTTGATTTAAAAAAAATGTAACAATAAAACAAAAATCACAAAAATACTGAAAGGTCCACGGTTCCATGTTACATCAAGTTTAAATGTAAAATAGTTTGGTATCGTATCGACACTGGTGATACTGACCCTGTATTTACGTATTCCCGCTATCACCCTCCTCTAATAGAAAGGCCCCAATGGGGCCCGAAGCAAGATTAGATTTTGGGGCCCTGTAGGTCCGCCAATGTAATCATCAGTGCAGTGATCACATCCTTTAAACTTCCTGCTTTAAACTCAGTCTGGGTATAATTCCTGCTCTAAGTACGTCACTCTGTCAGCTAAAAGAATGTTTTACAGTCTCTATACTCCAATCAACAATCGATTTACTAAAATAGTTGACGATTATTTCAATAATTATTTAATCCTGATTAATGTGATAGTTTCAGCCCTACGTCTGACTGAAGCATCTCCTCATTCATCTCTATCATTTGCTAAGTTTATCTTCAGCAGAGAAGCGGAGGAAATGCTAGAAGCTATCAGACATAGTGGATGTCAGAAGGTATCAGAGTCCCTTCAGATCCACCTTCACCAGTTTTCATCCCTACAATGATCCATAATCAGAAACCAGGTAGCATTATGTTAGTGCTGAGTGTGCGGGGAAATGGATCGGACGCCGTTTTCATGGAACGTCGACTTTAGTGAGTCGATGTTCGACCAGGACAGACGGAGAGAAAAAGGAAGGACTGACCTCCTGAGAACCTCATTAACAAATTAATTATCCTTGAAAAACCTGGAAACATTTGGAGACATTTCACAAGCGGCCAGGAGACGGTTTCCTGTTAGACGCCGTTTAATATTTCCAACTTTCAAGCTCGGTCTGAAGAGAACTTCGCTGTTTAGTTGTTGAAGTTTGATTTGACGATTTTCATGGATAACTTATAACTTTTCTGTTTGTGACAGATCTATAATGAGAAGGAACTCCTCCAGGGAAAGCTGGACCTCCTCAGCGACACCAACATGGTGGACTTCGCCATGGATGTTTACAAAAACCTGTACCCGGACAAGGAAATCCCGCACTGTAAGAACGAGCTCTTTAATGTCACTGGTTCAGATGTCAGGTAGATCTGTATCAGGCAGAACGTCTGCATCAGGTACAGCGTAAACGCTGCTGCCTGCGTCCTCACTAGAGCTATAGAAAGTAGATCAGATCAGCCCAGTTCTGAAGTCCTTCCTCTGGTTCTCCGTGTCTCAGACTTGAAAATCCTTCTGCTGGTCTAGGAATCACTGAATGGCTGAGCTCCAGTCTACAGACTGGTTGGCAGGGGATCGACAGCCAGACCTCTCAGGTCCGCTGGATCAGAACCAAACAGCTTTTAGTTCCTCTGCTCCAATAATCTGGAATAAAATCCCAGAAAACTAGAATAGAGCTGAAAGCCTCAGCTGGATTAAATCCAGATTTAAAAATGTTTCTTTAGACCTTTGACTGAGAAATCTAAAAAGTTTTATTCTAGGTCCAGTTTTCCTTTTTTAACGATTAACATTTAATTATTGTCAGTAAATGAATTATTCTTCAGCAGCAGCCGTTAAATGGCGCCTTTCCATCTTCTCATAATTATAAGAAGATGGACATTTTATTCCTGGTTCTTTGGTCCCCGGCGTTGCCGTGCAGAACGACGTCTCCAGATTCCCCTGCTGGTCTGATCTATATTTTATTGGAGCAGATCTATTCAGACTGCTGCTTCTGTTAAACAGATCTTTGCTGTTTTATCCTCTGACGTCTAACTGTTGCTAGACGGACCTGCATACCAGCTCCTGATGTAACCTGCAGGCCTGAGGGAGAAGAGGAGCAGCGTGGTGGCCCAGCTGAAGCAGCTGCAGTCGGAGACGGAGCCCATCGTCAAGATGTTCGAGGACCCGGAGACCACCCGGCAGATGCAGTCCACCAGGTCCGCTGCCCCGGCAGCCCTGTGCCGCGCTCCAGCTGCACGGAGGGGGGTGCTCAGTCTGACGCTCTTGACTTCTGTGTTCTCCTCAGGGATGGGAGGATGCTGTTCGACTACCTGTCAGAAAAACACAGCGTAAGTTTTTTTACACGCCGCCGCCGTTTGTTCCGTCTCCCCGCGGGGGACCGGTTTGCCAGTCAGCTCCACGTGTTGCCGTAGCAACCAGCTGCCTTGGCTACGGTAGCAGCATCCAGCGACGTGCTCCCGCCTGCTCTCCGTCTAATGAGACCTAATTTCCCAGAGAATCAGGTTAATGAGTTCGTCCTGCCTCCTTCCCAGGGGCGGATCTAGACCAAATGAATCAGGGGGCCAGGAGGGGGCCAGCATGTTTTCATAGGGGAACAGAAAAGCATGAAATAAAAAACAGGGATTCAAATATATTAAGAGAGCTGCATGAAGAGAAGTTTATATTCAATTAGGTTTAATTAAAATTCTATTTATTATTACTCACATATTTCCCATAATCAGGACTAGAGTAGGGTTGGAAATAAGACAACATTTAGCTGCATTCCACCTCAAAAAGCAGGAAATAGAGTTTCAAAGTCTAAAGTTCTACATTTTCCGTTGGAGGATACCCCCGGACCCCCCCAACGCTGTACAGAGCCTAAAGATGTGATGCACCAAGGTGACCCCCTATGGATTTAGTCCTAGATAAAAGCCTGTTGCCGTGTTTTCCAAGCCGGCACTGAATGCAGGATTCCCACAGATCCTTGAACTCTTTCAAGGTTTTTGCTTTGAAAAGTTTTTAAAAATATCCATAAAACACCCATTCTGTAACGCATCTAATGACAGGTGAAGTTTTACCTGATCGATAACAAAACTATAAAAATCTGTTTCTGATGAACAAACTGTTAGACTGTGATATAAAGAGGGAGAGCTGGGTAGCGCTGTGGCTAGCTGTAGCTAACAGGTTAGCCTCTTTTAGCTCGGTCAGTTAGCCATATTAAGCTACACTGCTTTTAAAGTTGGAACATCAACAACCGTTCGTTTCCTACAAGTAAAATAACTGGTTTTTTTTGTCTAAAATCTCTACGAAAGTCATTTTTCAGGATGTTCCAGTTGACCTCATCTGACCTCAGAAATTAATAAAAAGAATAAAAATAAGCTGAGACTTTTAGTGTCTCCTTGTTAGATAGCAGAACTCAGTCTGTCTCAGAAGGCAGGACTTTCCTTCCAGACTGACAATGATTGTTTTCTACTTTCAGCTACTTTAGATCATCAATGAAACGTAAAATAATAGCAAACATTGGAAATATTATGTTGAGACTCCAGAAGAGATTTGATTCTTAATGAACAGATGCAATACAGTTTGCATATGATGACATCATAAGAAAAGGCTGAGTAGATCTGGTTCCTACACGGACTGTAAACGCGTAGTTAGCTATTCTCTGCTGAGCCTGGATTTTCATGGTTGCTGCGCAGGATGCGGAGGAACCGCCAATCATGATGAATTAGCCATCAAGTTGGTGGAAAACACAAAGGCTTCTTTTCAGGACGCGTGGTTCGCAAAGTGTGGCTGGCAAAGGAGCCGAAAAAAATCATCTGTCTTTTTTTTTGTCACTTTTTGGAGATGATTTCAAAGCTTTTCTAAAGAGCTTAAAGGCTCCAATGCAGACCAGTCTGTATGGAAGAAAAACAGTCTCAAAATTCAGCCGCAAAAGTGTTGACCTTTTGGTGAACTCAAGCCAAAGCAATCTACACTCGATAGAGTCGAGCAGCTTCTAGCCAATGAAATTAGCTCATTTGGTCATGTGACACAATGGCTGAATTATTTTGCAGCTGTATTTTTTTGCAGGTGAATTTTTACCAGATAAGGCTTGACTATAAGGAACTCAATGTCTAAAAAAATTCAGTGTCTGAAATTCGGTGTTAAAAAGAATTCGGTGTTTAAAATTCATTGTTAAAAAAATTCTGTGTTTAAAATTTGGTGTTAAAAAAATCAGTGTTTGAAATTCGGTGTTAAAAAAAAGGCAGATTCCAATGAGACAGTTTTTCTTCCATAAATCTGTCCGTCACTAACCGTCCGTATATTGTGGATTTAACGGAATATTGATAATGATGGCAACCCGTTTGTCGGCTCTCATCCAGCAGCTTTGTTTCCATTTAGGGTTTTATTGAATTTGCATTTCTGCTGAAATAGCCTTTTAGGCATGTCTACATGTATGGAGTGACTTTTGTTCCAATATTGTTTCAAGCAAAGTTTTTGTAAATAAAACTTGGAAACTCTTCTTAATTAAAAAAGCTTTTGAGACTAACTTTTGTTTTTTTCTCAGACTCCATACTCTTTAAAAATTTTTATCTAGATTTTATATTTTTTTATATTTTTATAGTTTTTCCAGCTTTTTTTTTTTTTTTACAAATTGCCTTATTTGTTAAATTGCGTTTCACAGATCCTATTCTCTTTACTTGCAGCCCAGTCCAACGACCAATAAAAATGTCACTAACTAAACTTAAACTAAGCTTAAACTTTGAAAATGATGAATGTTTACAAAAATATATAAAAAAATGTATTTAAAAAATACAGAAGTAAAACCTGAGAAAAGTTACTTTCAAAACATTTTCATTAAGAAGTTTTTCAGTCTGAGTTGGTTTCTTTTGTCTTCAAAATTTCCATTTACAAAATTTGTTCTTTGCAACAATAATGGACAAAAACATAGATATTTAAATATAGATCAGCATAGTCACATGACCCATTATTACTGTAGTTTGATCAGCTATTTAATTTCAGTTGCTTACGTCCAAATAGACGGTTTAATTCTATTGTTTATTGCGTTGGAGTCTAAAGACATTAAAGTCTTTAAAATAGAAATAGTTTTAGCAGGTTTATTGAATGAATTTTAAATTAATTTCCATTCTGAGTCATTTCCAGGTCATCATGGCTGCTATTTTCCCCCTTAGTTCCGTCAGGAGTACCTGGACACGCTCTACAGGTATGCCAAGTTCCAGTATGAGTGCGGTAACTACTCCGGGGCGGCTGAATACCTCTACTTCTTCCGGGTCCTGGTGAGAACATCCGCATGCATCCATGACCCCCCCCCCCTCCGAATCCAGGCCTCTGATGCAGTTTCCTGTTGGTTCTCAGGTTCCGTCCACAGACAGGAACGCTCTGAGTTCTTTGTGGGGGAAACTGGCCTCTGAGATCCTGATGCAGAACTGGGAGGCGTCCATGGAGGATCTGACCCGTCTGAGGGAAACCATCGACAACAACGTAAGAAATAAAACAACTTTTTTTAGGTCTGGTGCAGCGCAGGAGGTTCAGAGGGTCTGATCTGGTTCGCTGAGGTCTTTGAGGATCATTAATGTCTGTTTGCTCCTTAGTTTCAATCAGTCCTCAGCAGGACAG